CCCTGGCACCGTTGCATTTGATCTGGGCACTGACACTGTCTTGCTTGGTTCATGTCTTTACTGCTTGAAATTCATGGCTGCGTGGACACGCTATGTCTGTGTCAGCGCAAACCTGTGCTGCCGCCACCTCTCCCGGCAGCTCCAGCAGCTGCTCTCGCTGCCTGGCGCTGGCACAGCTTGGCGTTCTGATGATTTTTTTTCTGCTGGGTAGCTTCAGCTGCACCCGCTTCTGCCCTGCGGAGGCAGCGAGACCTCCCTTAGGGCAGCCGTGTAGATTTTATGCCAGATGGAATTAGTGTTATAATCAGAGCTGCAGAGCTGAGAGTTAAACTCACCTTAGCGATTTTTTACTTGTCTGGATATTTTCGCAAGATATTGCAACGATAGCAAGATATCTGACATACACAAGGATACTGTCACTTGCCAGAGACCCAGCGCAGGACTCTGGGCTTTTGAGATGGACGAGTAATACCGTTACTTCCAAAAGTTATGTAAACTTCCTATGCACTACCAGTTCTTAAAACAGAATGTCAAACTGTGGTGCAATATTAAACTACACTTATTTACTTAAGGATATTTACAGGGAAAGTCTATGTTTAGCTAGATAGAAAGTACATTTTACCTGCATATATAACAATTCCTCTTGCAGCCTCAGTATTTCTGATTGTACAGCCACGAAGCAAGAGGCTTTCAATGTTAAAACCAATCCGTTCATGATTTGGCTGCTCCCTAGAAGAAAGAAAATAAAATAAAGCAATGCCTTTTTCTGTTCTGATATAGTATTAAACAGATTTTTTTGTGTGTGTCTATTTCAAGCTGAAATCGAGGAACTGTGAAGGCCCTGTTTTGCTTGTATTTCGCTCAACTTCAGTAAAGACTCCAGCAAGAAGTTACAGAGAAGTCCAAGCACCTCTTCTAAAGACCGCTTGCATGGTGTATGTATCATGATGTCAACATGAACACTCGGTACCTTACCTGTCAGATTCAGTATTTCATAATTGAAGCCAGGATACATTATGTGACTTCATTCGGATGAAATGCGTCTCGAAAGCTGAGCAGGGTTTGCCTGCTGGCCGAGGTTCGGACGAATACATCTGCACCCTGCGAGAGCCTCTGTGCCTCTGTCAGACACCAAAAGGCCTCTCATCTTTGTGAGCCTCAGTTCACTTGAACAGTCTCTAGGCTGAGGCTCTCTTCCTCACCCTCACACTGGACTGAAGGCTTTTCATCCTGGCTGAAGATGACCTGTCACACGCCAGATCCTTCTGCTAGCAGAAGAGACCGATGAAAACTTAATGGAAATTATGAGATCAATGCTCCAGCAGGCAGGCGATTTGTTACCTGCCTCAGAAAATGAAAGCATAAAACTAATTTTTCTCACAGTTTTTATTATATACCCTGCTGGGTTCGTCCTGAGATCTTTACCAAAGCTGAGATTTTTCACTTCAGTCACTCCATCTGGTTTTGTTATGTAAATATCAGCATAAGAAGAGATTTTTTCCCAGCATATGTATATTTTGCTACTTTCTATTTGATATTTGGCATTGCATTTACCAGTAAACTGCAGCATCACTTAAACAAAGGGCAAGGTTAGGTGCTATCTCAGGGCTAAGTACAGTCTGGTGTCTGTGTGCAGCTGCACATGGTTACATGATGTCAGACTAGACAAGTGAAAAGGTTTAGGTACCACCAACATACAGCTGGTAGAATTGTAAAAAATAATGCCAGAAACCTGTTTTTCTGGGAATCTAGATTCAGTCTTTGTGAACTTGTTTAACAGATGCCTTCTCATATCCCTCTGAGCAGAATTTGCTGTGGTCAGGCATGTCAGATGGACGTCACTAAGTTCGTTCTTATAATTTTTAGCAGAGAGATTACTGCTAGTGTTTTATGGCAAGGCAACAGAGCCTCAGTAATTTATTAAGTGTTCTCAGAGAAAAATATAACCTGTTCCAAGTAATCTGTTTTTACAAAATAGCTCAAAATAACAGCAGACCAAAGACAGAAAGTCCACTAAATGTTAGTAAATAATTTTCATTGCAAATTATTTCATCTACCCCTGAAGTGGTGAGAGAAAGGCAACTAATTTCATATTATCACAGAATCACAGAATCACTAGGTTGGAAAGGACCTTCAAGATCATCAAGTCCAACCATTAGTCCAGCGCCACCATGTCCCCTAAACCATGTCCTGAAGCACCACATCCACACGTTTCTTGAACACTTCCAGAGATGGCGACTCCACCACCTCCCTGGGCAGCCTGTTCCAATGCCTGACCACCCTCTCGATGAAGAAATTTTTCCTAATATCCAATCTAAACCTCCCCTGGCGCAACTTGAGGCCATTTCCTCTTGTCCTATCGCTAGTTACTGGGGAGAAGAGGCCAACACCCTCGTCGCCACAACCCCCTTTCAGGTAGTTGTAGAGAGCAATAAGGTCTCCTCTCAGCCTCCTCTTCTCCAGACTAAACAACCCCAGTTCCCTCAGCCGCTCCTCATAAGACTTGTGCTCCAGCCCCCTCACCAGCTTCGTTGCCCTTCTCTGGACACGCTCCAGCACCTCAATGTCCTTCTTGTAGTGAGGGGCCCAAAACTGACCACAGGATTCGAGGTGCGGCCTCACCAGTGCCGAGTACAGGGGCACAATCACTTCCACCAAGCAGGTGAGATAAAAGATTTCCAAAAGAGATTTCCATTACAGACTTTCAACAGAGATTTGAAGATTTTGAAGCCAGTCCTAGGTCCTACGGGTGTGTATTTGAGTGTGTGGTGTTGTGACATATCACCTACATTTCTATAATCTCAGTGCTCTTGTGCCATATTACAGCAGGCTAATTGGAAGGATTGCCTCAATTTAGATTATACCCAACCGTCCTCAAAGCCAGCAACCCCAGCCAGCGATCAATACAAACCTGGCCTCTTCTTCCCCTTTCAAGATATCACAGAAAAGAGGAAATGGCATTGCTCTTGGAGGCGTCATTCTTACAGGGCATCAATCCTCAAGAGCAGATTAAGCATGGTCAGTGCTAACGGGAGAGAACGCTCAGGTTTGCTCATGTCAGAGGATCTGGCCATTTGCAGCTGCTCCTGATGCAAGACTCTCACTGCATTCTTGCAGAGACATTAAGTCCTACTTTAGCTACTAGTAAACTTCACAAAGCTGGGGCGTAGGTAGGGTTGCTGGCGCATTCACACGGTTAAATTATTTGCATAATGTGGGGCATGGGGCATGGTCTGGGGCAGCAGGTATTTCAGCTCTCTGTGTGGTGTTGGAATCAGCCTGGGCAAACAACTGCTCTGAAGAGGGTCTCGGGAAACAGCTGCCCTGTATTGGGGAGTTCCCAAAGAATTTTAGGTCATGAGTCATGCCATAAATATTTGCCTTATAGCCAGGAAATGGGCTAAATCTGCTGAATTTGCTAGTATAGATTTCCCTGTTATGCCTGTGACAGAGTTATTTAATGAAGAAAGAACATCAGGAACAGAGGATGTGGCTTTTTTCTCACATACATAGGTTTACACCAAAAAAACCCCCCTCTTTTTTATACTAGTCTAACACATTGGTTCAGTAGGGTTTTGCTTGCTTGCTTGCTTTTTCTAGCTTTAAGAAGAAAATCCGTTTTTTTTGCTAGATCTTGGATACCTTTTCCCTGTGGCCTGAAACATGAAGAAACTAGAGCCATGCAACTGAGTATCGTTAAACATCAGGAAGGATTTAGATTTAAAATCTAGCCTAGCCTAACCCTCAGGTCAAATGTAAATGAGCTTATGTCTGAATTCTGAAAAGAGCTGAAGTCTTGTGAGAACAGTTTGTATGTAACAATTGCAAATCCGACGTCAAGCCTTGGTCCTGCCTTGCCTCAAAACACAGATTCTACTCTACATTTTATATTGACTTCTGAATCCAGGAATAGATAATAATGATGTCCACCAGTTTCTGTAAAACATATTCCTTTCATCCAGTTACTCCAAGAGAAATATTGAAGTTCAGATACAAAATGCGTTTATGGATAACAAATACTTACATGTACCCTTTGAATTTATTGAGATCATTGTTAGGCATTTCACAGATGATGGTATTTCGGAAAAATTCGGGTTCAAACGAAGTATTCTGCAAGACGAAACGCATTGAAAATGAGTGTCAAATCCAATTAGTACTTGAAATGCTAAACACTAAGAGCAGCTAAATACAGGCCACCAGGATCGTTGGGGGCTGGAGCACTTGCCCTGTGAAGAGAAGCAGAGGGAGTTTAGCTCGTTCAGCCTGAAGGATGGCGTCAGAGGGGCTGAGTAAAGATCTGAGATCTTCCTCTCTTGGATTAACAACTGGTTAAATTAAATGAAGAAAATGCTATGTATTGGACAAGACATCACAGATGCTAATTAGTGAAAACATCTGTCTTCTTTAAAGTGAAGGTAACAAATAGTTCGAATCATTTATGAAACAAAACCAGCCTTCAACCAAAAGCAAGCTCAAATGAAAATAATTTCAGGATTTATCAGGATTTTGAAATATTTTAGAAGACTTACATTATGATCCAGGATGGTATAATCACAAACTAAGAGCCCATACATTTGAATAAAAGTATCACATTCAAATAAAACTAAAAGCAAGACTAATTAGCAAAAAAACGCCAATCCACAAACCAACCCAACCCCAAAATGAACAAACAAACAAAACCAGAAGAAGGAAGGCAGCAGAATACATCCAAAGTGCTGGGAGAGACAGAACAGGACAGAGCTTTTCAGGCTAAGTGCTCCCTGAAAAAGAGCTTGGAGCTGAACTAAGACACACTATTTTGCTTGATTTCCCCTGTGTTCGAGGAAACAGGTTTGGGTTTTGGACTGCATGAAGCAGTCCAGAAAGCAGACAGCATGAAAAGTACTTGACTCCCATAAGTGGTGTTTTTTTTCTTGACCAAAAAAATACACAAGACTTTGATTTTAAATTAAGAAAATGCAATAAATATGAGATGTGAGAAACATGAAAGAGAATCATTATTGCTGTGCCATAAAACCTTCAAAAGAACTGAAACTCACTTTAATGCAAACTCCTCTGATTAGGAAAGCTGGAAATCAAGTCTGCTGCTGGGCCTCCCTACCTTTTTCCACAGCAAGACAGACTTCCAGAGATTAGACTCCTTCAGAAACTGCAAATCCTGGGAATCCTTCACTGCAGTTCACAAAAACTTTGCCAGACTGCAAGAGGAATTCCTTACACTGCCAGTCCTCAAGTCTCAACTTTTTCTCCACTGCGCTTTAATTCTTACATTATTTTCTCTCTCCTGTTCTTTTTTTTTTTCCTGAGCAATACATATATTCTTTTTCTTTAAAAAAATTTATAATATCTAAGTACAAGCAAGTAGAGAATCTGATCTAAAAAAATAAAGTTTGAGGAAATACAAAAGCTTGATGAATATAAGGGCATTTTGTATACCTTCTGACCCATGTGGCTGAATATTTTTAGAATCTCTTTCAAGAGATATCGTTCATCTCTGTTGAATCTTGTTCAACTTGGTAAACTCAACAGGAAGAATAAACTCAACAGTAGAATATGAAGATGCAAAAGGCACCTGGAGGGCTTATACTAACAAAGAAACCTAACAGGCTTCTAGCTAGAAAGGGGTAGAGAAGGGTGATTCTTTCAAAATTTTTTCTTTTGATGACAAGAATTTTGCATTTGAAAATTCAAGTTAGAAAATGGCATAAAAGGGAAAAAAAATCGTTCCTCTTTTTTACAGGTAGGTGAATTCGATATTCCTAGCATATCCTGAAACACAGAGCTAACCCCAGTTCATATGTATTTCCTCCCTCCTTAAAGAGTCACACTTTATAGACACAATTAAATCTGAGTAAGTTTTATGCAGCACATAAATCACAGGACAAAAAGCTCAAAGCACAAGGAAGAAGTTGGCATACTAAAACCTGTACATATGATATTTAGCGCGCTGGGGGTTTTTAGCCAATGTACTGTTTACATTACTACATTAAAATGACAGGGTAATGATTGACTATTTAAGCTCTGACCTTCCTGAACGTTGGCTATCGCCACGGTCAGAACTGCGTTCCACTCTGCCAGTGTAACAAGACTGCGTAAGTATAAACAGTTCTGGGCATACAGGTTACCTAAATAACAACTCAAAGTCTGAAGAAAAGAGCTGTGAATAGGCAGTCTGAAGCATAATTTGGCGTGCCGGGATTTTCTGATTTAAAGAAAGACTTCCTCGTATTATGAATGATTGAGGCAAAAGTTTGTATGATAGTAGAACACTCTGTTTTCCTCTAAAAGCAAAAATACAAAACCTAATCTGTAAACTATGGCTACATAACACAAATGCAGCACTTTTATTTTTGCTATTTAAGTAGCCAGGTTATTTATTTTTTTTCTAAATCTCTACGTATTAAAAATCTTCAGTGTTTCTCGGGAAAAAACCCTCTCCCTAATCATCATTGGAAAGCTCTGGAAAAGGTATGCTTTATACTATGGCATTCACAACCTGAGAAAGCCCCTAATTGTGCTTGAACTTAAACTTATAAAAATATAAACTTTTAAAAACATAGCTCCTTAAACTCGTTCTGTGTTATTTGAAAAACTGACCTGCTCTGTTTGAAAAGATATTTTAAAATGTAACAAAGTACAACTCTCCCTAAGTCATATTTTCTTGTTTACATCCGTACATCTCTCTGTCAAACAGAGAGAACAAGAGAATTTGTTTATCAAACAAGAGAATATACCAGTAAAGTGTTTGTAAAAAGGAAATTATACAGCCGAGGGGAAAAAAAGGTGATTTTAAGAATTCAAACTGCATCTCTGCTAACAATCAAACTGATGTCAAACATACCAGTTTTATTTAACTTTTCACATTTTAATTTACCTTGACTTCCTGTTCAGTTGCTTATTATACTCCTATAAAAGGTTCCATTATTTCATGACAATTTAGCGTGCCTTAGAGCAGTTCCTAGTTGCACGGCCGCACTTTGGACCTGCCTAGAAACGAGCAGTGGTGTGTCAGCTGCCGCAGAGGAGCAAAACCCCCAAGGAAGCCTGTGGCCACTTTGGAAGGGGGGCCGTGTGCTGTCTTCCGATTTCCGCGCAGAAATAAGTCACTCAGTAGCCGTGGCTTTGCTGTGGGATGCGCCGAGTGCCGTGGCCACCGGTGCTGTACGGGTGGCTTACACATAGGAACGGCTTGCTGCTGTCCTGGCTGGCGGCACTGTGCGCGGTTGCTTACGCATCTGTTGCCGCCGTTTGTCTACTACTGTCTGAGATAATCTTCCTTTTTATACATCCATCCCTGGGCCTGAGTAACGGAAATCATTTGGGACAAACTGCTGCTTTCCGTAGAGGGTGCTAGCTCCGACAGCAAAACGCTTTCACAGCTGTACGGGCGCAACCAGCCCTTGGCTGCCACCAGACCTGGTGCGCTTCGCGGCTGGAGCTGGCGTGCAAAAGGGCCCGGACCAACCGCGCGCTACGTGGCTGCGTCTTCCGCAGGCTCACCTGGCTGGAGAATCCCATCACGACGTGTCGCTGTTTAAGGTTGGTCTCGCCATCGAGGTTGGCAGTTTCCAGGTGACAAACCCCGTTCTGGTCAGAGGAGTACAGCAGTAGGATATCGGCTGGGATGGTCTCGTTACACCGCAGCTGCACAAAATCCCCCACTCGGACATCCTTCCAGCATTTCTCCACATAAGCACGTTCTTCTCTGTCACATTAAAAAGATGCCACGGGTGAACAGAGACATTAGGAAGGCAGCCCCGGGTTAGCGGGGCTTAAAAAAAAACAAAACGGGGGGTGGTGGCACATTGCTGTGGGTTTTTTGAAAGACGTGGCACAACAGCTAGAAATTAATGGTTTAGACACTTCCATATGACATCACTTCACAATATATCATGTTCAAATTAAATATTTACACGGAATAAAAAGAAACAAAAGTTCTCTTTCATCCTATTATTAGCCCTATAATCTCCATAGCAAAAGATAGGAAGTTGTTCAGGCTAACAGAGGTGTTTTAAAGTATCTTATTCAAGATTTTATACATTTCAACAAAAGAAATCAGTCGTTTTTGACTATGTGACTATTTCTCAGATACTTTCCGACAACAACATATAAATGCTGAAAGAAACAAACTGCTATCTCAGCTACACTTCTTTCAGGTCTCTCTCCAATTTGAAACTCTCAGAAGGTAATTACAGATCTTGAGCTCAGCCCACAGAAACAACTTCAAGCGGTAGAACAGCAGACAAATGACCCCTTAATATTAAGCAAAAAAATGCAACTATAGCCCAAGTGCAATGGAAAAGTTAAGATAAGAAATAAAGAGCTTCTAAATTTAAAAGGGAAGGGAAGGGAAGGGAAGGGAAGGGAAGGGAAGGGAAGGGAAGGGAAGGGAAGGAAAAAGGAAAGGAAGAGCCTTCAGGAAATAGCAAACTTTTTTTGACTTTACCTTTTCAATAATTTATCCTCTTAATCATCTAATCAAACTTGAAAACCACACAGCAAGCTCTGAAATTCGTTAATGGGAAAACTGCATGGGCAACAATGGCCCAGATCCTCTAACTCTTTGAGAGGAAATTACGTTTTCAATGTGAATAATTGGATCATCCTATGTCTTGCTTTGTAAGAGGGAAAATGCTCATGATACTTTAGCAGACAGACAGTAAAAGGCTTTTTGTAATGACTCAGAGTCTCATTTTTGCTTAAGTTTTTAATCATCCTCATCTATTGCCTGAAGAATACTGTCTTTCAGTTAAGTGTTTGCACCGTGCGAAGGGGAGCAGCGATACCACAGATGAAGTGTTTTGCTACAGTTCAAAGCACACATCCAAGCCTTGCTTCGGAGTCAGGCCGAAGGCTACTTCCTCCTCACCTACTTTCCTGGTCTTCTGTAAAGGAGAGCCAGCCATGATGCTGCCAGGCAAGCCCTCGTAATCGGCTGATAGTCTTATCTGTAAAGCCACATGAAATAACAGCTTCCTGCAAGGGTTATACAGACAGTTAAATTCTGTGCATTTCCCAGGGGTGTCCACTCAAAAAAAGATCCCCCAAATCCTAACTATTTAAATCCTTTTAATGCTAGATGTGAGGCGCTTACTAAATAATGGTATTGTAGCAATAATTCTTCCTTCTTACATTAACTTTTCATTCATGAATTCTTCATTCTTCTTTCTTCTTTTGTCTGACTCTATTTATCTGCATGTCCTTTTTTCTTTTGCTCAACAACAGACATAGAAGACCCCACTGAAAACAGAGGTTTGTTGTAAGTTAATTTGATGTTGCTGTGCATTTAAAAAAAATAATTGCAGATCAATTTCTATTTGAAAGGTATTTAAACAGGTGCATGTTGAGTATTTATTGCTCTACGAAGTGGGTGCTAACGTTAATACAGCAAATCAACGAAGTAACTAGGAATCCTCCCCATGTTAAACACTTTCTGGTGTAACTTCTTAATTTGTTTGTTTAAAACATAAAAATGAGAGTACAGAAGCACATTAGAGTAAACAGATGGCTTGTCTTGCTATCCTAGGCAATTTGAATTACATGTAATGTTTGCTGTGACTTCTGCAGGGCGATCCTACCTCTCTGTACATCAACTCTTGCACAGTTCTGAAGTTTATAGAAAACACTTCTGTTTTTTTCTCCTCATAAAATGCTATAGAAGGGCCTTGCCTTCCACATCAGCCTAAAGAAACCAGGTTAGCAAATACACTCCACAGAAATCACAGATTTGTAATATTTTTTTCAATAATTCCCTATGAAACATACATTACGCATAAAGCTTCAGGTTCTGCCCATTCACTAATTACAGAGGAGACGGTGAGTCAGAAAAGCCAAATGACCTCTTTCAGGTCAGAGGAAAAGTCTCAGCACGGGGACTAGGGTTCAGGAGTTGCTAGAATTCCAAACCTGTGTTCAGGTGAACAAACTGTCCCTTTCTCCCAACAAGCATTGGGTTTGGCAAAGAAACACATTTTATATTCCTGAAAGAACTATTCAGCTGGAGCTGTAAGATTAACAGTTTCCTACAGTACAAAGGCTTTCTACAACTTTGTAGAGAATTACCAATGGATGGAAGGAAGAAAAGTACTCCACAAGGAAGCTGGTGCACCCCACAGCAGCACCGGCCCAGTTGCCTTACCAGATTTCTCAAATGAAGCAGTTTCCCTTTAGCAATTCCTGTAACTGGGAACACTGCTCGTTTACTGTTCAGTGATTAAAGTTCATAGCACAAGCTCTGGTTGCTAAATAAACAGAGGAGCTTCATAAGTCTAAGATGGGCTGATGAGAAATTTATAAAAAGGGCAAACACATTTATCCAATAAAATAAACAAGATGTGGTGATTTTCAACAGGAGGAAAGCTGGAAATCTGATCAACAGCACACTTAAAAAGTGTTCCCTTGCTGTCCTGGGGCAATGGGTAGCATGGTAAAGCCCATCGGGGATAGTGCAGACAAAAAGAGGCAGTTAGCCTTGAATAGTCGAAGTGAAGTCCGCCAGATGTTGTTGGACTGATCATATCTGACCAGAAGGCCTGAACTAAATAGACTTTATGAAGTAATTTCTAGGAAAAAAAGGATCATAAAAATATCCTGCTGTGGCTGGAGAATGTGGGGGAACATGAATAAATTATTGACCTTGTATCATCAATTTCATTTCACATCCTTGGATTCAATAAAGATAAATTTCAAACAAAAACTGAGTCAAAATGGATGGTGAATGGAAGCAAATAAAAATTATTGTTCTGCTCCCTAGAGGAGATTAGATAAAAGTGGTTTTTCATGTCTGTGAGTCCTAGATTGTCTTAGAGAAAGATCTTCAGGAATCTTTATCACCCAGAATTATCTTATCAACCAATTAACTCAGTGAGTCTTATTTCCTTGAATTACTGCACGCTCCATCTCAGGATCCTTTGCAGTTTGAAGTAAAGACACTGTTTGCTCCAGCTTTCATCCCCTAAATTGCCACTAGGTTATAACACTTAGAAAAAAAAAATCAGTGTCATGAATAGACGAAACCAAATGTTTGTACTTTATCGTATGTAAATTCGCTAGAATGTTATATTTGAAAATGGCCCCCCTTAAGCATCACCTACTTTATAAAAAATGCTCGTGTTCTGAGATTCTCAGTTCTACGCAGACAACAGGCAGAATTACACAGCTACTTACTCTTTACAGTCTTTTTGCAAATAGAAATCCCACATGTTTTTATGCTATCAAGATTACACCAGCTGTTATATGGAAAAATGTCACAAAAGGTTTTCGAAGACCACTTTATGGCCATGACCTCACAGGTAGGAGTTACTGCCATAAAACTTTGAAAAAGTGACAACAAAGGAGCAGATTTAGGACTTGAGGAAGGCACTAGGCTGGAAGGGAACTGATTCTGAAACCCGTCCATAGGTCAGAGTACATCACAACTTGGCTGATAGTATTCCTGAGCTAGAGATACTACCTGAGCACAAAAAGGCACCGTATTGTCCACGCCAATTCACCAGTGGCTTCTGCCACACTGCTATTACAGTGGCTGGGAAGGTTGTTTTTGCAATGTAGACATCAGCCCAGCAGCTTCAATGAATGATGTCATTTAGGAGCAGTTGGTCGGTTGTGTAACAAGCCCTCATTAGCAAGCAGCTACAGTCCTTCCCCATAGTCCCAAACTCTCTCTCAGCATTTGAATACTGGTTTAAGAGAGCGACAAGCATCTTTTAAAGATAACGGGAGTGAAATATTTCTAAAGTCTAATAAAAGACATCTTTAATTATACTGTTTTGGCATTCCAAATTCCTTAATGTTAGCGATAGATCCTATCTTTTTATGTGCTAAAACTGTCTGTAGCATGCTAACAAGGAAGTTATTCTCTCGATGATAAAAGACACCTATATTAAACTTCTGCAATCATTTCAAGTTTATGTGGACTTTAAGTAAGTATCAGAACTTTATAAGTGTATTATATGTCCATACACAAGGTTTTGGATTTTAACTTGCCTTCTTAAATCTCTGTGTTGACTTTATAATGACCTGTACCAAATGAAGAAGTAAAATAAAATATAAGTAAAAAGTATTTTGAGAACACATTTGCTTAGACTTTACTGGGTTCATTTTCTAAGTTATGGATTATTGTATTTAGAAAAATCTAACTTTTAATACTGCCTTGAACAAAATGCTATTGTTACAATTCTGCCTGGCAACATTGGAGCGAACAGGGAACCCCAAGATCCGTTACTAAAGGACTGCTAATCATTAGCATTAGTTTCTAAGAACTCCCATTAACTTAACAAGTTTCTGGAAGCCACAGCCTAGAACAGCTTTTTTGCTACAGCCATCTCCTTTCATGACCACGTAGCTCTTGAGGTCACATGGTAGAAACCCGTTTCTCTCCAGGTTTTAATGGTGTTTTAAAATTTCAGACAGTTAGGATGGAACCTAATGCCATGAGGTCATGATTCTGCAGGTCTCTGAGCCAAAACCATAGCTTCTCATTTATTTGCCCTTTGTCTTTAATCGTTAGCTTCTGCTGCCGTCTGCTAAACCATTGCACCTTTTCTGTGACGCAGCTTTAAAAGCCTTGGCAGGTAATAGATCTTGATGAAAGCTCCGATAAAGCAATACACACACTGGTGGTAGCATTAGTAACGTATTTATGGATTTTCTTCCACAGAGAGCAAGGATCCTCACTGTAGCAACACACACTGACTGACGAGGTCT